AAAACTTAATTCGATTGAGAAGAGAGAGAAGAGGACTCAAACACGGAAGAATTTGAGAGAGAAAAAAGAGCTTGAATTTGGGTTTTGTAGCTCGATTTTATATCGCACGAGGAGGAAGAAGAAGAAGAAACGGAGACTTTTTTTCTTTTAGAGAGAGAGTCCGTGTGTGGGACCAGTGGAGGAGAGAGAGAGAGAGAGAGCGCAAGTGTGAGGAACAGCTCAGCGAAGAGGGAGAGGACAAAAGAGAGAGTTTGGAGACGGCAGCCGGTGGTTGGATGAAAGCGGGAGAAATGACGCGTCAAGTTCCTAGTTGCGAGATGACATGCATGCATGCATACATACATAAGTAGCAGGTGAGTGGTATGATGAGATGATCATGCATGCATGATGTATGCATGTTATACGTTGGCGGAGTGGACTGCGTCAAGGGGAGTAAAGGAAACTTGTGGGCGGGTGAGGTAGTGAGCATGACTAGAGTGCAATCCGGATTTGGTATTTTGTTAAAATATTCTAAAAACAAAACTGACCGCATGATTCACAACATAAACCGTTAATACTCACGACGACAAAAAATGATTTTCGGACTTTATTTTTTCTCGTGTTTATAGCCACTTGATCCAATTAATTGCAAGAAATCAAGTGATAAACTAATGAAAAGTGCAAGAGGCTAAAAGTAAAGTGCGGGAATCATTTCCGTAAATAAGGTATATGTTAGTATTCATGTAATGCTGGGGATGACGTGCGGCACATTGCAAAATTATTGCCATACAACTCGATTGTTACGTTGCACGACTACTAAGATGGAATGAGTCAAAAAATGTGGCATGTTAATTTTATCCTAATTGACATTATGAGATTAGACTAATACGCCACCCTAGCAGTGTTAAGTGTAACCAGTCTATTTAAGTTCCATTAAGTCGGTCGTCAGTAAATCAATGAAGTGATGATTTCATCAACATGTCATGCGCTATGCTTTGCTTAGGAGGAGTAAGTGATTTAAAGAGTAAGGCATTTTTTGAACACATGACAGCCGTCGCTTAGTCAATGACGCCACTATGACTCAATTTTAATTTCACTTTTCTCCCGTCTAGTAGGGTTTACTGTTATCACAGACTTGGAAACTTGCAAGGGCAGCAGCCACAACGAAGTTTTTCCCAACTAATATGGAACAATTCTGGGATTCAACCCTTAAAAAGTATGAAGGGTTTGGGTTTTGGGAAAATAACGGGAACATTATGTAGATGTTAATCGAATTTAAAGTAAACGTGAACTATAACATCTTCATCGGTCTTACACGACGAAAATCGAGAAGTCGGAACAGTTATTGTCACTCGGTACATGGAGAGACTACGAGAGGAACATCTAGAGAGGAAGTTCACCACTGTCGGCAATCACGACTTTGCTCTTGGGTGTGCCACTCTGATTTCCTTCAGCTTCAATCTTGTAAACTACATCCATTCCAGACAGCACCTTTCCGAATACAACATGTCTGCCATCCAACCTATAAACATTCAAATACGGAATCAAACTTCAGCTTTGATAAGTATACATGTGTAAACCAATGGTTGTTATTTGAAAACAGTAGTAGACCGCCTCTGTATTAAGGGCAGAGGTCTTAAGATCAAACGACTAATGAAATCGGTAGTTGAGCACTAGTTTAAATGAGCGCAAATGTAGCGTTATACAATGTAAAGGTCTGAAATTTAAGAAATGTGATATGGAATCAGTAAAAAGGGGACAGAATGAACCCGCCATCTGTGGATACCATCACTACGATTGTCTGGCCACTGCCCGACTCTTACCAAAACGGTGGGAATCAGGCGTTCCCTGTAAGCACTATTGGTCTCCACAAGAAAGCAAACCAAAATTGCTTCCTCTAATCAAACCCAACAAGTGCCAGAATTATACAATTTAAGAAAGCAATGCATCAAGCAGAATACGACAGTCATTCTAGAAATATTATTCGCGTTTTCAAGCATGCATGGATGCACATAGAATTACCAGTTAGTCGTCACAGTTGTGATGAAGAATTGTGAACCATTGGTGTCGGGACCAGAATTTGCCATTGACAAAAGCCCTGTACAAAAGAGTAAAGAGCACTTAGTTCACTCCATAATATAGGTTCAAACTTCAGTATTATATTGGGTGCTAGCCAGTAGCTATCCATGCCGCTGGAAGAGAAGGCAGGTGGGATGGGTTATTTGTCTACCTGGGCCAATATGCTTTAGCTTGAAATTTTCATCAGCGAACTTCTCTCCGTAAATTGACTCTCCCCCTCTTCCATCACCTAGTGTGAAATCACCTCCTTGGATCATGAAACTTGGTATAATCCTGTGGAATTTGCTACCCTTGAAATGGAGAGGCTTTCCACTCTTTCCAACGCCTTTCTCCCCTGAAATATATGGGGGGAAAAGAAGGATGAAAATTTTAAAAACATTATTGACTCTTACAACTTTCTAATCACTATGTTCTGGGGAAATGCAGTATACAGAAAATTTCTATGTAACAACTAAATATTTGCATCCTTCCTGAGTTGTTACTGAACTTGAAGGCCTCAACCAAGGACCATTTCATATACATTGCTGATGATAGACCCCAAAAAGTAGATACTACATATCAACTACTAAACTTAATACGAGGAAGCGAAGATGAGTAACTGGTTACCTGTGCAAAGAGCTCGAAAATTCTCTGAAACACCAAAGGAGTGAATTAGTAATGTTCTGAGATTTTTAGCTTTAGTTTAAACACATAGAACCCACAAAATGGGAGTAATATTATTCAATTTAATACCTGCAGTCTTGGGAACCGCCTTCCCAAAGAGACCAATCACAACCCGTCCTGAAATACAGTGATCGAAACAAGTATCAATACCGATTAGCCAGAAACAAAAAGCACCACCACAAAAAAAATCCCAATAATTCATCAAACAATGGCACCCAAATTTTCATTTGCAACAGTCTATGCACATAAACATTTCTCCAACTCCACAGAAACAAATCCACCTCTACGCAAATGATCACCCTTCGGCTTTCGGTTCCAAATTGAGCTCACACATCATGTTAATCGAATATAAATACCAAATTTGGGAATTAAAATATACCTTAATTAAATTGAATTTTGAGCAAATGGGTCGAATTTGTTCTAAACATTAACAAAATTATTGCAAATTAAACAGCATACCAGCTGGCTTTCCAGAAATCTCGACATCAAAGTAAACCTTGTGGGTCACTTCCTTCAGATCCTCCTTCGACTTCTTTGCCTGATCAAGAATTTACACAAAATTTAAAGATCGATCCTTGAAAATGCAATTGAATCAAACAAAATTGTAAATTTAAACAAAAACATAAACTTTACCTCAATGAGAGCTAGGGTTCCGAAGAGGACGAGGGTACAGAGCATCAACGACGTCGTTCGATCCATCTCTTTGCTTTTTCAGTTCTGCAATGTCCTCAGGACTCTTCTTCTCTCACTCTCCAGATTCATTCGTTTGTACTGAATTGTATGAGTCTTAGGTTTAGCGGTTCAGCCAACAGTGGTCTGACACGTATGGTATTTGGGTGTCCAACGGGTTGGGTAATGGGTTGGAAATGGGCCGACTGCTAAGATGTGTTTGGGCCTTCAAGCCTCATTCTATGTTTGTTTTTATTTTAATAATTCAATAATATTAGGAAAATGCGAACGTCGGTCGCGGTTACGCGTAGAGGAGTGTGGCATCCATTTACCCAAAAAACTCACGTGCCAGTTTCCAAAAAAAAAAAAAAAAACTCACGTGCCCACGCAAGACTAGTGGTAGCATTCATGTTAAAAATAGAAGATAATGGGGTCAATTAGGGTTGTGTCATTTTGCAGGGATTTCAGCTAAAATGGTCAATCATATTAGCATAATTTTTTATTTTGGATCCTAAAATCTGAAATCGATAGAAGTCATGTCTAAGTTTCTCCACCATCAATCATTTAGATCATTCCATAAAAAATATCTATTAAACAAGGATGAAAATGACAAAAATACTCTCAATTTTTGTTAAATCATTTTGACTCATTGTTTATTAAATTAAAGACATTTTTGTTATTTTTGTCCTTATTTTAACATAAATTTTCATGAAATGACCAAAATGATTGATGGTTGACAAATTCAAGGATCACTTCTACTAATTTCAAATCACGAGAATCAAAATGAGAAATTATACCAATCTCAATAATCATTTTAACTAAAAAGTTATATATACATAGAAATTAGAATCCGTATTTGTCACATAATTGAAAACTTACTAATTTGTAATTCTTAGAGTGGTAGACAACCAATTTCAAGTTACCATCCTCTGTTTCCTAACCTTCTGGTACCAACTACACATTTGACTGAAGTTAAGCTTTTCTTGATTTCTTTGTGCTACCATTTTGGGCTTCATTCTTGATATATTTGGAGTTTGTGGATTGTCCTGACGGTTATTAACATTCTTATTCAACTCATTGTCTTATGTATTTAAATTGAATTTGTGGCATGTGGTAGCATTGAAGTGTATAAATTTCACTTATGATCTTTATGAGAAGTAAAAATGGATGTGGAGATAGCACAACCTTATTATATTCCAACAACAAACCCAAAAGACATGAAGAAAATGACAATTGAGAAAAAGTTGAGATATGACATAATTACAGAATTTTTTAGTGGATATAGGATTTATCAACAAAATTGCTATCCAAGCAAAGTTTTAAACGGTCGATAATATGCGTCTTATCCAACTACTTAATGTGTCACGTTATTATTTATTTTCGGCTTAAATATTTACTTACAAACATAACCATATGGATAACTGTATAATGAGAACATCAATGATTAATAAAACATTCGATAATTCGATATTGAGTGATCGAATAGGCGACAAAACCTAACTCAAGATTCTTCCCAACTCACATGCTTGAACCTCGTTGACAGGCTCCACTTCTGAGGGACCAGAAAACTAGAATTCCAATAAGAAAATCATAGAACAATCAGATGACACATTAACTAACCGTCACACACCAACTACCATTCCTATGTTGAAAAACCCAAAAATGGATACGAGAGTACACGACTTTTTGGTGAGCTTCGCAGCCTCGTCACCACCGCCTTTGCTTCCTCAAGGGATGCTGCTGCCTCCCAAAACTCCCATCATCCAGGTAAAGTCTTAGAAACCAAATAAATAAATAAATCATTCTTTCCTTCTTCTTTTCTCTTTTTCGTATAAATATAACCAACAAATGCCAACGTTGAACTTTGTGCTTTCAGCATGGAAACCCCAGAACCAGATCGAAGAGAAGATCAATCCTTTCCATCATCTTCTTCTTCTTCGCCATCGAGCTCACGGGTGGAAGAAGAAGAAGAAAGTGACGGACGTTCAAATGGGGACAATTTTGATGAGCAGCAGCGGATGAGAAGGTCTAGGACTTATCATGTGAACTTGTTGGTGTTCGATGTAGAAGTGTCTGAGGATGATATTTGGTCGGCCCTTGCTGTGCTTGTCACCTTTTGGTTCTTTGGTCAGTTTCCCTCCTCATCAATCACTTGTTTTTGTGCATTGCTTGTGTGAATTTGTTTCATGTTTCTTTTTAATTAGTTTTGGATTCCAGACGAGAGAAACTTACCTATAATTGGGATGCCACAACGGTCATAGTTCAAGTCAACCAACTACTGTTACGTTAGAAAGTTAAATAGAGATGATTTAAGGACATCATTTTCTCCTCATGCACATCTATGTGTATTTTTTACTTTTAGATTAAATAACTCAGAAGAGAATGAAGAGACAATAAAAAGAGTGCATAACGAGAAAATAGGTATGTGAAGATCATTTCTTCGAATACATGGTAGTGTTTTGTTGGTATGAAATACCGACACAGTGATCTGTAGCATGTAGGTGCGTTCTTCTTTAAAGCAGAAAATACTTCTGACAAAAAGTGAAACCAAATTTTTGTCAAATCAAACCCTTTTGCTTGTTTCATGTGTAGTTGTGGAGAGGGTTTTGAGTTTGGTTCTTTCATAAACTGGACTGAAATTATATAAACTTCAATTGATTTATAGGGTTTTTCCCCTTCCTTTTTTTAAGTTTTTCCATATATTGTTATGTACTGAACTCGTTTGTTAATGACTTGAGCATTTGATTAATATGGTTTTTGATGTTCGTCACGCACAGCATCTATGACTATGATTCTTGGTTTCTATGGATCTGGCAATCTACAATTGGGCCCGAACTGCTCGCGCTTGATACAAACTAATCCGTTCTTTGTGCAATCGATTAAGGTGATCAACCGCATTTCATCTTGTAATTCTCGTTTAGTAAAGAACTGGTGTGCTGTAAAACTTATCTGGTCTATAAAACAACAGGCACAGGAGTTTGATGAGCAAAAACTTGGCCCAGTGTTATATGGATTCAACAAACCTCCTCCCTTGGATGTTGAAATAGCATGGACCGAAACACAGGATACGCTTGTTCCAGCCAATTTTCACAAGGCAAGATCTTCCTTTCCATGTAACATCGAATGTTAAATCATTTTTCCTTCTCTCATATTACTCTTAACTTTTTGTCCTCTGCTTTGATTGATGGGATTCAAGTTTATTTCTTTCATGTAACAGGCATGGATTTACTTTCTAAACAAAGGGTCTGGTTTGGATATTACTTACCGTGTGAAGCCTACAAGTTCCTCGCCTTTAACTCTTGTAATCGCACAAGGTAATTCCCAACTTCTGATTTGGATTTCTTGTTTCTTTTCTATCAAAGTACCTCGTAAATGGTTATCTAAACTTAACGTACAAAGGTCTAGGATTTATGTCGAATCAAATAGTTGTAGCAGCTTCTTTACTCTCTGGAACTTGGATTTAGTAAAATTCCGAAACATCTCCAATTTCTGAGTTGTCCTTCCTCTCCGACTCTTAAATCTAACCACTTTCCCATGAGGCCAAATGTCTCTGCAGAAGGTCTATCTAGCGTATATGATATGGGGACTTCTTTTTTCCGGTTCTTTTCTTCTTTTTTTGTGCCGGTGGTGGTAGAGGTATTAGTAGAACTCAATGTATTTTCTGGAGTTGAAAACTTTTATCTAAACCTGCAGGTAGTGAGAGCCTGGCTGAATGGATAGAGGATCCGTCATACGGTAATGCAACATTGTCTTGGAATATAATTTATGGTGAGATTCATCACTCAAATTTCTATTCCCTCTTTCGGAACAAATTACAATGTTCTGAACTTCTACGTCAACCTGTTTTCTTCACAGGAAGTGGTAGGATCCAGCAGGATATTCCAAAGTCTTCTACTTACTATATCGCAGTAGGAAACTTGAACCCTGAGTTTGTTGAGGTAGTTATTCAAAAGTTTATTCCATTGGAAATAATTATATCATTGATAATAATTAGTTTCCAGCTTTATTGAGCTTCCAATGTTGATGTATAACACAGGTAGAGTTGGTATTCAACATAAAATCTGTTCTTTATAACACAACCGAGGCGTATTATAAATGCTCTTTGTATAACCGGTTATGTAGCTTAAAGCTTTCCCTCTTGGGGGCAAATGTTGCTGTCATAACTTCTCCAGGTCCTAAAGAGGTAATGTAGAAGACTCGCATTCCCGAGTTTTGTTTTTCTTCTGTCCCTTTCGGGGGATTGATACAGTTTCCGTCACTTCACCATGATAAATATGTTTCCTGAATCCTTAGGGTATCCCTAATGATGATTGGTATGTAAGCCTGTCTTATGGACCGCGATGGGCCATGTATTTTCTTGTAGCAGGTTACTTCTTGTTATCCTTCATATCCTTCTCGTAACATTGGAAAATAAATCGTTTTCTTTACATCTACCTCTTTGTTTGCTTGTAGGCGTTGTGACTTTGCTCCTCGTAACGGCCTTTAAATTTTATAACAAATTCCAGAATTCTAGTGAAGACACAACCGAATTTCAAGCAGAGGAGGGACAATCCGTGCAAACCCCGCTGCTTTCACCCAAAGACGATGATACTTTGAGTTGGGGTTCGTCGTATGAATTTATTTCCAATAATGAAGAAGATTTGGATGAGTGCCTTGCAGTGAGTTCCCTTGAAGGAAGGTTAACAAATGAAGGAGATAGCAACAATACTCGGCATCTTTGTGTCATATGCTTTGATGGTCCTAGGGATTGCTTCTTTCTTCCCTGTGGACATTGCGCTGCCTGTTTTACTTGCGGAACAAGGTATACAAATCTGAATCAATGTCGTAGTCTTCTGCTTATAACCCTTTACGCGAAACGTTAGATATAATGACTTTGAACATAACCTACATACACTTGCAACATTTTTAACTTCTACCAAATCAAAGAAGAGTTAGATTTCTAAACGGATTAATGGTGCAGGATTGCCGAGGAGGCTGGTACGTGTCCCATATGTCGTAGAAGGATGAAGAAAGTGAGGAGGATTTTTACAGTTTGAGCTTGTATGTATGTGTGAACCAAGTTTGCAGGCAGCTCCCTTGTACCATAGTTTTTATGAATCTTGTGGATATTTTTTCACTAACAGATGAAGAAGTAGTGGTTTCTATTATACTTCAAAAATTTTCACACATTATCACAACCACAAGAATTACAACTGTAATCTCTCCAAAGTGCAAATAATGTATTTGAAAGAAATGAGTATCGTTATTATTCATGTATTTATTACTAGCAATCAAATGATTTGGCTATGTCATTCTTGACAATTTAAGGTATGATGTATATTCGACACCAGGGTCAGTCCTGAGATTTTAAAGGCCATGTTCGAAAGTGAATTGGAGGCCCTAAAAAGCACTAAGAATTTTATTTTATTTTATTTTTTTGTTCAAAAAAATAATTTTATTTTAAATTGAACTTCTATAAATTCTAATAGCACAAACAAATTTAACAAATCAACAAGTGGAAAGGTGGCGTATTGTTTTTTCTTAACTATTTAGAGGTCAGGGTTCGAATTTTCATGTTATTGTGTGAAATTTTTATATTATTTTGTGGAAGCTTATGCATTTAATAAAAATAAACTGAAAAGATGATGGAGATGAGTTTCGAATCCATTTCCTAGGCCGCTGTAGAGAAGCAATAATACAACTTGCACTAAGACTCAAGTTTGTAATATTCTACACATACTACTATATATACGTAAATGCATGCAAATTTGAAAAATCGGAGGCCCTTCCGATTTGAGGGCCTGTGCCGTGGCACCTATTGCACCCCCTCAGGCCGGCACTGTCCGACACACATTTATTCTCATCTTCAATCCTTCTAATTCTCACACAAAGTAATTAAACATACTCTAAAAGTTGTGCTAGGGACGATTACCAACGTCGGCTGCTAAGTGATTGCCAGCCCCTCGACGAGCTGTGGAACTCACATCCATGCAAATTTACCAGATCAAACAGGCTCGTGCCATCCCTGAAACTTATAATCAAAATTCTAAAAGATGCGAAATGCTAGTTGGGCGGTGAGCCAAGGCCTAGCGTCTAGGTGGATTTAAGTAAATTTATTATATTTCGTGTAAATAAGTATCTGTTTATATTTATATATATATATATATATATAAACTACAAAATAGAGTAACATATATATTATGAAGTATTGGAACATAATGAAAATATGGGGAACAAACATATAATGTGTGTTCATTTAAGTATTCAACAAGTTTCTTACAATTTATTGAAAAATAATAATATACATAATGAAATTTGTCTATTTTCTGTCTATATGAGTTATAACCTAGACGGATCTGAGCGGGTTAGACGGATGCCTCGTCAGATTTAGGTGTCATTTCTTAATTTTCAAACGTTTAGATATTAACCGGGACGATGATTAGCCGTTTAGCCCCAAAGCGAGAATTTTTAGAACAATGCCTATAATAAAATAATGTGACCGATGATTGAGATTTAATGGACCTTACCAAAGTTTTAATATCGAATGCTTGGCGAAGCAGGTCCGCTTCCCAGTTTATAGCGGGAAGGGTCGTCCCCCGCCATCCATTTTTTTCCCGCGAAATAAAACACCAAACGCGGGGAAAGCCGGTAAACAGCTACAAAAATCTACCCACGTGGCAAACACTGCTTCCCGGTGGGACCCAAATGAAACAGAACAAGCTTGGACGTTAGCTCAGCCCCACCCAGTTACAAGCAGCTACAAATTTATAAGGCGATCAGTAGCAGCAGGAGCACTGCAGCTTATCCACCGCCACCGCATCCGATCATGGCGGCTCCGAGATTCGCCGCGCCCTCTCACATCCTCCCATCCGTCATCGCCCTCTCTCTTCTCTCTCTCGGCTTCGTCATCTACAAGGTCTCAAACGCAGCGTCGTTTTTCCGGTTTTTCATTTTTTTTGTTTATTTTTTCTAAAATATTTCATTGGGGGATTTTGTCGAACAGGTGGACGACTTCGCCACTCAGACCAAGACACTGGCCGGCCACAACCTCCAGCCGACGCCTTGGCACTTCTTCCCGCCAAAAACTTTCACCGACGAGACCCTCCACGACCGAGCCTACAAGCTGATCCACTGCTCCTACCTCGCCTGCCGCTACAAAAGCAACGAAGTCCCTGAACGACGCCGTCCTCCGTCGTCCCGCGCGAAAGCCCCGAAATGCCCCGAGTTCTTCCGTTGGATCCACCACGATCTGGAGCCCTGGGCCCGGACCCGGATCTCCGCTGCCCATTTGGAGACCGCCAAGCAACACGCAGCGTTTCGCGTGGTGATTGTTGACGGGAGGCTGTATGTGGATTTGTTCTGGGCTTGCGTGCAGAGCCGCGCCATGTTCACCATTTGGGGTTTTCTGCAGCTCCTTGCCAGGTATCCGGGTCGGGTTCCGGATGTGGATATCATGTTTGATTGCATGGATAAGCCCATAATTAACCGGACCGAGCACGAATCGATGCCTTTGCCGCTTTTCCGGTACTGTACGGACGGTGATCACTTTGATATCCCATTTCCTGATTGGTCCTTCTGGGGTTGGTAAGAATCATCATTCTTTGATTGTCTTCGTTTTCACATTAATTGTTAATTTTCTAAGTTTCTAGTTTTTTTTCGGGTAATTTTTCGTGTTTGCGTATTCGTTGTGAATGATTCAATGGGAAAAAACCTGAATTTATTAATTGTTCGTGTGTGCTTGAATTCCTGTAAAAATATCTGAACGTAAATAAATTACTTTATGCTTGTATACATGCATCAATTACATGCTGGTTATTAGACGGATTTAATTTACCAAGATTGACATTGTTTGCTAAACGTTTACTATTGTATGGCATGAAGGTGTTTCATTTATTTGGGCGTTAAGCGCGTTGTTATGGTTTTATTTGTGCTGATTGTCTTTATAGTTTATGATTACTGCACAGGCCAGAGCTCAACATTCATCCCTGGGAAGAGCAGTTCGGGGAAATCAAGCGGGGTTCTCAGGAAAGAAGTTGGAAAAAGAAGGAGCCTTTCGCATATTGGAAAGGAAACCCAGATGTTAGTTCCCCTATTCGTACGGAGTTACTTAACTGCAACGACACGAAGATGTGGAGAGCACAGATTATGCGTCAGGTTGAGTTTAAAACTGCATGTTGATCTCTCTTTAACGTGAACCATAGAAGTGATAGGCCTAAGGCCAGACCTGACATTATCTTTCTAATATAAATCGTAGGATTGGGAAGCGGAAGCAAGAGCTGGTTATGAGCATTCCAAACTATCTAAGCAGTGTAATCATCAGTAAGTACAGCTTCTAAAAGTGATGGTTTATCATCATATTCTCAATATATAGTCCAACTGATTAGCTAGGAAGATGTGGCGTGATCGTTTATTACGTATTGGCCTAAGATATTATCCCGCAGTTGATATTTTGACTCTGCTTTGTAGTCCTTTTGCTTTTGTCTATCTAGTTCAATTTTCCGCATCTATGAAAATGATGTAGTTTGCAGTTTATAGTTTTGAAGTTCTGAAACCTGGGCAGCCTTTAGCATTCAAGGAGGATTTGACAGTCTCTTGTGCGTGTTTTCTTTTTATCTAGTGGATCTTGACTGTTCCAATGATCCACAAAATGTTTCCTTCTCTTCTTTCTCGTTGGTTGACGAGTAGCTGTTATGTATAGTTGTACTCCATTGATGTCTTATTATCTAATTGGCATGTGGATTTGATCCTGCAGCTCAGAAATCTTTTCTACCTTTTGTAGGTACAAAATCTATGCAGAAGGCTATGCTTGGTCTGTCAGCCTGAAATATATTGTATCATGTGGTTCTCTTACACTGATAATAACCCCGCAATATGAGGATTTCTTCAGCCGCGGTCTCATTCCTAAGATTAATTATTGGCCCATCTCCCCTAACGCTATATGCCCGTCTATAAAGTCTGCTGTTGACTGGGCTCAGGGACACCAATCTGAGGTATCTTTCAACTGTTAGTAGTATTCTATATCATGTTCTCGTTCTTGTTGTTACATTTTGCATCAGTAATGTACAATTCAGTTTTCCCCCGGCTTTCCCTTATCTTCATTTGAAAAAACAACATAATCGAGGCTACAATATACTCCAATGGCTGAACAGGCTAAAGCAATGGGACAAAGAGGGCAGGATTTCATGGAAAGCCTAAGCATGGATCGGGTCTATGATTACATGTTTCACCTAATCATGGAGTACTCAAAGCTGCTGGACTTCGAGCCAGACATTCCAGCTTCTGCTATGGAAGTATGTACAGAATCCCTGATTTGTCTTGCTGACCCGAAACAGAGAGAATGGCTTAAAAGGTCTACCGCGTACCCTTCTCCTAGCCCGCCGTGCACTCTCCCGTCGGCTGATAGTAATCTCATCAAGAGATGGAAGCGGAAAAAACAAGAAACGATGGACGCTGTGGAGGACATGAATCCCAAGGGACGGAGACGATGAAACTAGGATATATGCTGGCGTAGTGTAATAATCATAATTCTTTGAGTTTTCAGTTTTGTAATTAAAATACTATAATTATTCTCTTCCCATGAAAAGGGTATTATTATTTTTAGTTTTTTCTTTCTTTTCCTGACTTTATGATGTTTGCATCAATGTCGATTGCGAGAGTCCACTGCAGCTAGACCCTGGTAGTCTACTTCTCCGAATAGCCGCGAAGGTGGTCATTATCCGGAGAATGACCTATTTGATACACGAATCAAGTCGGGTCACCTGATAAGAATTTGTTAAGATTATGGATTTGACTCGATATTATTCGTTAAGATAACTAGTATTGTACGGATGCGACAAACACAATTCGTTTACCCTGCCTAAAAATTGTTTGTTTTTTTCCATTGATATTGGGTGTCACAATGGTAGAACGCTATACAGATTGGTACTATTTTAAAACTCGTGAGAATAATGCGAGAATATAAAGAGTTTGAAATGTAACAAGTCCTTATTTTATTCTTACTTTCTCAGTAATATATTTAAAATACATGTAGAATACGTGTGTATCACTGAAACTAGTGTGAAAATTTCGTGATTTAAACGTTACAAAGATAAATAAATAAAAAACGTAATTTAATGAATCAACCGTATACTAAAAACTCCATTTTTTGCCAAAAATAGATACGGGAAATCTGAGTAGCAGAGTGTGTGTCCCTGTTCCATACCATTATTTATTTTATACCATTTCCATATCATCATCTTCTTCGCCCTCACTTTCCACTCACCACCACCTTCCTCCTCCTTTCTCGCGAAATCTCACATTCCACCAATCCCCCAGAGAATGGCTGACAGAAGCGGCGTCGTCACCGTCTACGGCAAAGGCGCCATATACGAAACCACCACCAAGTCCTCCCCGTTCTCTGTCAAAGTCGGCCTCGCCCAAATGCTCCGCGGTGGCGTCATCATGGACGTTGTCAACCCCGCCCAGGCCCGCATCGCCGAGGAGGCCGGCGCCTGCGCCGTCATGGCCCTGGAGCGCGTCCCTGCCGACATCCGATCCCAGGGTGGTGTCGCCCGAATGTCCGACCCCCAGCTCATCAAGGAGATCAAGCGCTCCGTCACCATCCCAGTCATGGCCAAAGCCCGCATCGGCCATTTCGTCGAGGCCCAAATCCTCGAAGCCATCGGCGTCGACTACGTCGACGAGAGCGAGGTCCTCACTCTCGCCGACGAGGAGCACCACATCAACAAGCACAATTTTCGAGTCCCGTTCGTCTGCGGATGTCGGAATCTCGGCGAGGCGCTCCGCAGGATCCGCGAGGGCGCCGCAATGATCCGGACGAAGGGGGAAGCCGGCACCGGAAACATCGTAGAGGCCGTTCGGCACGTGCGTCACGTGATGGGGGACATCAGGGTCTTGAGGAACATGGACGACGACGAGGTGTTCGCGTACGCGAAGAAAATCTCGGCGCCGTACGATCTCATGATGCAGACGAAGCAGCTCGGGAGGCTGCCGGTGGTGCATTTTGCCGCCGGGGGCGTGGCGACTCCCGCAGACGCGGCGCTGATGATGCAGTTGGGGTGCGACGGGGTTTTCGTCGGGTCGGGCGTGTTCAAGAGCAGTGACCCTGCCCGGAGAGCCCGCGCTATTGTGCAGGCTTCCACCCATTACAGTGATCCGGATGTGCTGGCGGAGATCAGCTGCGGATTGGGCGAGGCAATGACCGGGATGAATCTGAACGACGAGAAGGTCGAGCGGTTCGCATTTCGGTCTGACTGAAACAGTAAGATTCGAGTTTGGAGCTTTCTGGTGATCCCCAAAGGACCAAGAGCTAAGGGCTCCAACTTTTAGAAGAAAACGAACATTGCCCATATATACCATTTTACATATTTTGATTTCTTAGCTGTGGTACGTAAATTTAAATTTCATGGCTCAGTTGGATTTATTTCTGGATTTTTTTTTTTCCTTCTTTCTTTCCGGATTCTGCATTAATTGAGTGTGTTTTGTCCAATTTTAGCTTGATTGTTGATGAAGCATTAAGACATTTGAGTTTGCTAATGCTATTGAGCTCGCGTCATGTCATTTTCCACTTTCTGTTCCTGGTTCAGACATTAGCTTTTCCTTTCTCTAGTTCTAAGACTATCTCTAACTGAACGAGAGCCAAAAGATATGTTTAGCTCTATACAAGAAATTATATTTTCATTAACAGTGTTAGATTATATTTTATACCATCTCTAACCGAGAGAGCCAAAGGATCATAGCCAAACATAGCCCTTTGACAAAAAACTCATCTCTAACCGAGGAGGCTAAAGGGGCCAAACATAATTAAATTAATATGGTTAGTTAAATTAAATTACCATATTAAAATAAGGTTTTTGAATATATTTTGAGTGTCACTTGTCTCCAAATAAATAAGCCTCCAGATTTTTTATTTTTATATAATCTCAATAATTTTTCATATAGGATTTCGAGTAACACGTGTTGCTAAAGTAAGTAACTCTTCAGATTTCTTATCTTTATATCATCTTAATAATTTTTCGAATAGGATTTCGAGTGCCACGTGTCGAGATATAATTGGTTGTGCAAATTTTAGATAGGATCAAATCTTTCTTGAGGTGTATCTTGAAATAACACCCACCCTTTACAAATTTCCCAACAACTGTGATGAGTAAAGTGTTTTTTCATGTCCTCCATATACAATTCCTCCGCTTAGCGTATTTAGAAAATATAATTACGAAAATTAAAGGAAACTAATTAATTTATGAAATTAAATGTAATATAATTAAATATTTAAAATAACTTGTGAAAACACTTACTTCATCGTAGTAATTGGCTCCGCTTTCATTTCTTCTTTCGGCGCTTACCACAGCTTGATGCCATTTATTCAAATTTGGTTGAAGATGTTTTTTCCATCTTGAAGAACAACTCTCTTGGTTTCAGGGATTCGGTGGAGTGGTGCCTTTATAGCACTCATAGTACTTTTTGGACGTACGAGTCCAAACACCTTCATTTGTTTGAGAACTACCCTTGACACTATTTTCCAAGACCCATCTATAAACCCTGCAAAGAGCTTCATCTTCTTTTTGGGTCCAAGCCTTTCCTTTCATTGTAGATGTGGTCATTTGAAAATTATTGAAAAAAATTAAGGAAAGATTATTGGAAGAGGTAAGATAGTATGGAATGGTGAAAAGGATGTGAGAAATGATGTAGGAATGACTTAGGTATTTATAGGGAAAAATTTGTCCAAAAAAATTTTTAAATTCCAACGGTAACCTGACGTCAGGTAGCCGTTGGTTGTTAAGTGGATTGGGCTACATGGTTGGCTGGTTGGTTGGAAATGGCCAACCCGCTGGCTTGATTTTGGTTTTTTGGCCCAGTGGGGCCCACAAGCCCTTTGGCCAAACCATTGGTTAGAGATGGTTTTCATGTCATTCAAAGCTATTTTTAGCCCTATGACCCTTTGGTTGGGTCGGTTGAAGATGGCCTAACCTCCTAAATTGTTCTCCTTTTTCTTCAAAATCTCATGTTCTTCTATGTTTTGAATCATCAATGCGTAAATGTCGTGATGGGTTCTAACATGCTTGATTTCATCCAAGAATGTCCTTAATTCATGTGATCGTGGAATTTAGGTGTAAAACTATGTGTGTTGTATGCGAATGCGGATTTATGGTTTGAAAGGTTAATCAATACAAATGCATTACCTCAATGGTCTAACTCTAAGAAAGAATGGTGCAATGTGTGCTACATCATGAACTATTCTTGACGAATAGCCTATGGCAGGTGTTAAGAAGATAAGTTTTTAATGAACGCGTCTATGTGTAGACGGCGGCGTGTATGCAAGATGAGCCTCTGTTAGGCGTAGAGAAAATATGCGTATGATAGTTGTAGAGAAGATGGACAGTTCTTCAGAGTCCATCTTCATAGTCCTGGTAGGGAGAGTATGCCTATCAAATCGGGAATCTAGGATAAGATATCCAATCTTCTTACGATTATGATTACGTTACCTAATTTCTAAGATATCCTAATTTGACTTGAATTAGGGTTTTATTACTTAGGAGACAAGTAACATCTTCAATGTGTAGTATGTTAGACAAAGGATTACGGTTCATGGGTTACAAGTATTCTAGTCCCTCTTGCCACTCGAGATGCCACATGTTGTTGTTAGACCAAGTCATAGTATGCGCGCGTCTTCAAGAGTTTATGATCAAGTCGAAGTGTTATCCAACAAGAGTTAGTTTAGTTTAAGACTCTTTCAAATATTTCTTTACGTGTAATTCAAAGTTTAATCTTTCTATTGTATCTTTGAATTTCAAATAGCCTTGTAAATAGGCGTTTCAATTTCTTGATGTAATCTGGAATGCAATATAAATACATGCAGCCCATCATTGAAGGGCAATGCAATTGAAGTGAAACCTTGAGTGTACTTAAGTTTTACAGTTATAGGCCCAAAAAATCATATTCCCACATCTTGTATGTTATAGGGACCATTTTTTATTTTGTCCATACACAAAAAAATATTCATATATAATTGGCATATTTATTTTACGAAAAAGGGAGAACATTCATAAAGGAATACAATTATGAAAATAGGGAAATTATATGCTTGGCATATTTATTTCACGAGCAACAACCGCAGCAGGATATCTTCACCATTATCCAAGGAAATATTTGAACCAGCTTGCTGAGAGTTTTGGGTGCCTCTTAAGTCCATCATTGTGATCTATATAGACGAAACCAAATCGTACGGTGTATCCAGAAGTCCATTCAAAATTGTCCATCAATGACCATGAAAAGTATCCCTTCACATTTACACCATCACTGCACAAAAAAGGCGAATTTCAAATGTAAGTATGTCTAGTGTAGTGATAAGTAAAAGATATAAGTTAAACCTTATTTAACTTTTGAAAAGAACATACTTGATTGCTTTTCGAAGATAGTCGAGGTGGTGGTAGTGGTAATCAATTCTGTGGGTATCATTGAGGGATTGCGGAAGTGACAATGTGGGATCATTAAACTCATCCACGCCTGCAATATAATTAATTTGTTATTTGATGTTTTTTATTGACGAAGAGGCGAAGAAGTAGATTCATCATTTCATTCCTATCGATTCAATAGATTGCCAAATGTTTGGGAGTTCCCATCTAGTTTTATATGTAGATCACTTATAGATGTCAACTGCATTTTACACCATATACATGTGAAGCATTAATTATTTAGTTAATTAAGGCTTAAAAATAATTACCGTTCTCAGTAATGTAAATGAGCGGATCATTATATTTGTGCTTTGTGTAGAGTAGAATCTCTTGAATGCCTTTTGGATAAACAACTAGCCAACTTGAAGCAGCCTGCAACCCCAATATATGAAGGTAAGTTAAGTAAATGAAAAACAATTACCCTTTGAATGCAAATAGTTTAGCTAATTGTTCGATGCGTACCGGAGGACCAAGGGGGACTCCATTAAGCTCGGCTGCCACAACATTTAGGGATATGAGATTTTAAATATTTTGATGAACTTAAATTACTCAAATTAAATAATTGGTTTCTCATTTGTACTTACTTGATTCAAAAACGCGAGCATCAGTCAAGTAGCTTGCATTTGCAGAATTATTATGAGGTTGATATCTTGAATAGTAAGTAGTATAATAATTTATTCCAACAAAATCAAATGACCCTTTTATTAACTTGGATTCTTCTTCTGTAAATTTAGGTAATCGTTCTTTAACAAGAACTTGCATACTGTGCGGATATTGGCCGCTTGTCATTGGCTCCATGAACCTACATAATCAGTTGAAATTTCATTAATAAATTTTGTATTATTATTGTATAAATGAACAATCAATTGGGTTGATATATAAGTTTGAATTAATAAACTTGCCATCCAAACATAAAATCCAAAGATCGATTTGCAGCATTCCGATGACGCGTTGCTTTAGAAACTGGCACAAACCAACGTGTCCCTAATGATATTCCTATCACGCCTTTTTGAGATGCCTGCACATCACCACCCAAACTTGATTAGTTACAATATGAAAAAAAGGTAAATTAACCCTATCTCATTAATTTAATATTACAACATTGAGTATTAATATGACCTGATATTTAGTCTTGTACACTTTAACAGCATGTGCATGAGCGAGGAGGAAGTGGTGTGCTACTATATAGGGTTCGGTAGCCGAATCACCGCTGGTGCAGTTTAAGTTCTGCCAAGCAGAACATCGCCCGGGTGCGAATCCTCCTGATGCATAGCCATTAACAATATAAGTCCGTGGCTCATTTTGTGTGATCCAATGCTTTACCCGATCGCCAAATAACTTAAAGCAAAGTTCTGCATAGTCTCGAAAATGATTGCTGCAACATGGAAAATTAAAAATCAGTAGCATGCTGATTTTGAAGGTTTCTGCATTATAGCAATTATATATTTGAATATATAAACCGATCAATCATCAAGAAGATACTGAATCATTATTAATTAGCGGATCAAAGTACTACTTACACAATTTGATGGTTTAAGAAACCACCATATTTTTCTTCTAAAGCTTGAGGAAGATCCCAATGAAAGATTGTCGCATATGGCGTTAGACCTGTGCATGATCAATAAAAGCAACACGGTCGATTATATAACATGTAACTCTTAATATGTATATATGTATATGTGTGTGTGTGTGTGTGTGTGTGTGTGTGTGTGTGTAAGGTGGGATGATATATGAGATTAAGCAGTTGCATCACCCTTTGTTTAGGAGCTCATTGATGAGATTGTTGTAGTATTGTACTCCTTCCTTGTTCACACCCCCACTTAGCTTTCCATCTAATTATATAATTAAAATTAAACAAGAAAATAAGCAAATACATTCGAAAGGGGAACAAAATAGGTTAAACTAATTAATGCATGGACACACTACTCCGCGCGTCTTAACTAATTAATGCGAATGCGGATGATCAACTTACTTCGTAACAATCTGGACCATGAGATAGAGAACCTATAAGCATCCAATCCCATATCCTTCATAATCTTTA